TTTTTTCTTGAGGCATTGCACGGCTTCCCCAAAACCCCCATATCAGCCTGGAAGAGTTTCATATGAAAACAATCCATGGACATAAAAGCAAACAGTTAAAGTGTAAAGAGAATTGGATAGCTATGGTAATTGGGGTCCCGATACTATGCATTAACTAACAACGAGCAAAACATTTGTTACAGTTTTTATTAGTTAATAAAAAATACAACTGTTCATTGTTCATGTTAGCGCAGGTCCATTAAATAATATTAACAGATACCACTTTTAATTAACATTAACTAATTAACATGCTTTAGGAGTTAACGTTAACTACTGTACTTGAGTAATTTTAACAAATTGAACCTTGACAGATTATTATCAGACATTTCCCAGACAGATTATCATTGGCTTTTGCAATCAAGCTCCTAAACCTGAAGTGAAAGGCAAAATGTGAGCGTTTAAATCTATTGTTGGAGCTCAAACACTCGTGCCGGAGGTGTTCAGGTGATCTGCATGCGGAGGGCTGGCTATCTTCAGCACGCTTCACGTCTCCTCCCATTAGCCCTGACGACTTGAGCGTTGACTTACCTGCGGGGAGTCTGTCACCTCCACACACACACAGCGTCAGGGCCACAGGCTCGTCTCTGGGCTCATCTAGAGGCTGTGTGTCTGCGCCGGACCGCTTTGAAGCCCTCAGGTTGAGCTTGTGACGCAGCGAGAGAGAAACCCACCCTGGAGCACTTTGGGAATTTCACAGAGGTACTGAACTCTTCAGACTCGTGTTGGTTACTGGACTGAATTTAATGAAAGCAGGATACCTTTTGTCTAGTTTTGAGGCCTTTGTGCAGTTGACATGAGAAACCAGTGGATTGTAAACAGTGGATGATGACTGGAGCAACATGAAGCTCTTTCTTTAGGGACAAACGGACAGAATTTGTGGTTTGATGAGCACAGTTTTCAGAACAATTTTCCTTTTTTAAGCAGGTAGTTGAGGCGAGGAATATCAAAAGGCTTGTCACTTGTTCTTTACGTAACTACATTTCTTCACATTATTTTATGCCAGATGCCACTGTTATTTTAGTATCTATATACTATTGTAGTTTTTATTAATATTTTTGAATTAGATTGTATTTGTATATTTTCTGTTTTCACTTTAATCTTAAAGTTTTAGTATATTTGTATACATTTTTTAATCTGTTTTAGGTTATTTTGTTTTATTTATTTTAGTAGTTTAAGTTAAACTAAGTGAGAATTAGAAAGTTTATATATATATATATATTTCGTCTTTCGCTCCCTTTCTCTTTCTTTTTTTTCTTGAGGCATTGCACGGCTTCCCCAAAACCCCCATATCAGCCTGGAAGAGTTTCATATGAAAACAATCCATGGACATAAAAGCAAACAGTTAAAGTGTAAAGAGAATTGGATAGCTATGGTAATTGGGGTCCCGATACTATGCATTAACTAACAACGAGCAAAACATTTGTTACAGTTTTTATTAGTTAATAAAAAATACAACTGTTCATTGTTCATGTTAGCGCAGGTCCATTAAATAATATTAACAGATACCACTTTTAATTAACATTAACTAATTAACATGCTTTAGGAGTTAACGTTAACTACTGTACTTGAGTAATTTTAACAAATTGAACCTTGACAGATTATTATCAGACATTTCCCAGACAGATTATCATTGGCTTTTGCAATCAAGCTCCTAAACCTGAAGTGAAAGGCAAAATGTGAGCGTTTAAATCTATTGTTGGAGCTCAAACACTCGTGCCGGAGGTGTTCAGGTGATCTGCATGCGGAGGGCTGGCTATCTTCAGCACGCTTCACGTCTCCTCCCATTAGCCCTGACGACTTGAGCGTTGACTTACCTGCGGGGAGTCTGTCACCTCCACACACACACAGCGTCAGGGCCACAGGCTCGTCTCTGGGCTCATCTAGAGGCTGTGTGTCTGCGCCGGACCGCTTTGAAGCCCTCAGGTTGAGCTTGTGACGCAGCGAGAGAGAAACCCACCCTGGAGCACTTTGGGAATTTCACAGAGGTACTGAACTCTTCAGACTCGTGTTGGTTACTGGACTGAATTTAATGAAAGCAGGATACCTTTTGTCTAGTTTTGAGGCCTTTGTGCAGTTGACATGAGAAACCAGTGGATTGTAAACAGTGGATGATGACTGGAGCAACATGAAGCTCTTTCTTTAGGGACAAACGGACAGAATTTGTGGTTTGATGAGCACAGTTTTCAGAACAATTTTCCTTTTTTAAGCAGGTAGTTGAGGCGAGGAATATCAAAAGGCTTGTCACTTGTTCTTTACGTAACTACATTTCTTCACATTATTTTATGCCAGATGCCACTGTTATTTTAGTATCTATATACTATTGTAGTTTTTATTAATATTTTTGAATTAGATTGTATTTGTATATTTTCTGTTTTCACTTTAATCTTAAAGTTTTAGTATATTTGTATACATTTTTTAATCTGTTTTAGGTTATTTTGTTTTATTTATTTTAGTAGTTTAAGTTAAACTAAGTGAGAATTAGAAAGTTTATATATATATATATATATATATATAATTTTACTAAAGTTACCATTTTATTTTAATTAACAGATTTATTCTTTTTTAAATGGTTTTAGTTTTAGTTAACTATAAAATCCCTGAATTAATTTTATGGAGGTTTTCTTTGAACAAAAAATTGGGTGATTTTGGATGATTTTTGTGCAGTTTTGCCAGAAGAGAAATACTCTTTTAAATGTGCTTTTTTTAAGAGTGAAAATAGTTCTGTAGCTGGTTTTGTCACATTTTTGACATCTCTGAGTAAGTTCCTCTAGTTTGTAGTCTTCTAAATGTGTGTTTGCCTGGAGAAAGCATCAGAATCAATACCGTCTCGCGCGGCCCTGCGATTATCAGCCGCAGAAATGACAGGCCTAGGTTAAGCCCAACATTAACGGTGACTGGGGCAATTAGGAATGTCATTTTAATTATCTGTGGCATCGGAGTGAGAGATGTTCCTTTTATTTGTTTGAAATCAAAAGCAGAGGAGCAGGTAGCATCAGCGCGAGAATGGCAGCCGTAATCGCCTTTGTTCCCTTTGACACTCGCAGAAGACGCTGACGAATAGAGAGTGTCATCAGAGGAGAACTTAGCCGGCAAGTAAACATTATCGTTTCTTTGTGACTGCACTCTGGAAACACAAAAGACTGATTAGGGATGAGGTGAGGAATCACTGTAATGGCTGCCGTGACATTAGCAGGTTGGAATTATTGTGTTGAAGAGCACAATACCGGCGTGTGATAGGCTGTCTGTCAGCCAAACAATGCTCTCGCTCTGGAGTTTTTACTCAATCTGAAGTTCCACCCAACCCATCATTATTTATCGGCCTTTTCAAGTCTTCCAGCAGCGAGTACAAAGTTGATGGATTTTGTTTTAACTTCTCAAGATGTCATTTCTACTTTGTAGGAGCTCTCTCTCTCTCGCTCGCTGCTCTGTCTTTCTCTCCTTCTGTCTCTCTTAACCATTTTCAGTAACCTGTTCATGAACTCATTTTGAGAACTTATTATAACATCCAAATGTCTTTGTGCCATCATAAATTGCTCTGATGAGATGGTCAGAAGTTATTTAAATGAACACTGCTGTTCAGAAGTTTTGAGGATGGCAAACATCTGTAAGGTTTTTGAAAGAAGTCTCTTCTGGCTGCATTTATTTGATAAAAAATGCAGTAAAAACAGCAAAATTGTGAAATATTATTTCAGTTTAAAATAGCTATTTTCTATGTAATTATATGTTAAACTGTAATTTATTTCTGTGATGCGCTGCTGAATTTTCAGCATCATTACTCCAGTCTTCAGTGTCACATGATCTTCAGAAATCATTCTAATATGCTGATTTGCTGCTCAAGAAACATTTCTGATTATTATCAATGTTGAAAACAGTTGTGCTGCTTCATATATTTGTGGAAACTGTGATATATTTTATTTTTCAGGATTCACAGATGAATAGAAAGTTCAAAGGAATAGCATTTATTTGAAATATAATTATTTTGTAACATTAGAAATGTCTTTACTGTCACTTTTGATCAATGGAATGCATTAATGATGAATACATATATTTAAAACATCTTACTGACCCCAAACCCCAAGAAAACAATGAATTCACTGTAAACAATGCAGTTTATTTTAGTGTAGGTGGAGTCGAATCAATCTAATTATTTTAGTTTTATCGAGCAATTGTTGTTTTGAAAACTTCTGATTTGTGAGTCAATGCAAAGCCCATATTTTCGCTCCAGAACCGTCTTTTCTGCGATCAGACTCGTGGAAGTGTTCCAGCACCGGCAGCCTGTCCAGAAATAGTGCGTCCGGTCACTGGGTGTGTGAAGGGTGTTTTGAATGTAAATGTGTTGAAGGTATATCTGGACCACACATCAAGTCTGAATGTCTCACTTATTCTTTTTGACTTTTCTATTCTTATATCCTCCCTCCCTCTTTCTCTTTCTCTTTTCTTGGGTTCTTTCTCTCACGGAGAGCATTACTCAGTCTGAACTTGCCTAAACCCTTGTGGTCACACCTCTTGAAAAGGTTTTGTTTCCCCTGTCAATTGGTATTCAGCCCAGGTCACATACGCACACACATGCACCGTTTTCATTTTAATTTGCACCTGTTGTGCAGTTGTTCGGGAGGCAAGTGCAGACCAGTGGATTAGCCAAAGATCATGTTAGGAACAGATATGCCTAGTGTAATCTTTTTGTCCACAGGGGAATGTTAAGATAGACTGTGCTTTGTGTGTGTGTGTGTGTGTGTGTGTGTGTGTGTGTGTGCTGGCATACTCTCGCTCACCAAAACTAAAGAATGCAAAGATGAAAATAAATATAAGGCCTTTCTTTATTAACTCATCCCGGAGGAGTTTTACGCTCTTTCATAGCTTAGCAATCCTAATGTAGTTCTCAGTTATGATTCCCATACATGGACAAGCTCAGTGTAATAATCCGTAATATTGATCATCTGTGTGTCTATGTGTTTATTTGGCAGTGTTGGACTTTGAGAACGTTGTAGAAACTGGATCAGAGACGGAAGAAGAGGACAGACTTCTGGTATCGGAGGAGGACGGCTTGATCAACGGGGCGGGGAGTCCAGTCAGCCTCGTCAATCAAGAGTCCGTGGCCCCGCCCTCCCCGACCCTGGGTCACACACTGCTGAGAAAGACTGTGGATGATGAAGATGATATGAAGGACAGTGGAATAGAGAACGTCTGGCACGAAAACGACTTGCTCAGTGCATCAGTCGATGGTACCGGTGAGTTCCGCCCACTGCCATTATGAAAACACGCCCCTTTAATCAAAGTCACACCCTCTCGTATCTTAGACACACCCATCTTCACTAAGACACACCCTATTTTATCTTAGACATGCACATCTTATCTTAGACACACCCCCTCCTCTCTTAGTCACATGCATCTTCTCTTAGACACCCCCCTCATCTCATAGCCACGCCCATCATATCTTATGCACAACCCCTCCTCCCTTAGTCACATACATCTTCTCTTAGACACACCCCATCATATCATAACCACGCCCATCATATCTTAGACACACCCCTCCTATCTTAGTCACATGAATCTTCTCTTAGACACACCCGCTCATATCATAACCACGCCTATCATATTTTAGACACACCCCCTACTCTATTAGCCACATATATCTTCTCTTAGACACACCCCCTCATCTCATAACCACACCCATCATATCTTAGACACACACCCTCCTATCTTAGTCACATGTACCTTCTCTTAGACACACCCCCTCGCCTCATAACCACACCCATCATATCTCAGCCACGCCCCTCTCCTCTGTGTGTTGAAACCTGCTCTCAACTTCCAGTGGAACTACAGCAGAACGCTTCTCTTTAATTATCACAGAAGACCAGTTTCTGTCTGTAATCGTCAGCCCGGTTTGCAGAGCATCATTGGTAATTGCAGTAATAGCAGAGCGCCGCGTGTCGGTGTAAACGCGGCTCCCGCTTTCCTCCTGCAAGCATCATTGGTGCGGGAGGCGCAGTCAGAGACGCAGAGAGATAAATACTCTTAATGAGGGAGAGAGGTAATCATTAAGGGAGGCCAGGCTGCTGCTCAAGTCATTAAGAATCTTAAATGAAATTTTTATTTTTATGATAGCCATTTACATGTGTAATAAGAGTCAATGATTCTTAGAAGCGTATGACAGAAACATAGGAGTGTGAGAGCCCATGGAAGACAGACCATCTAAATGAGCACTTCTTCGCTATTCATTTCTGCTAATGAACTAGCTGTGCACAGAGCCGAGAGAAAGAGGGGGCGTTCGCTAGTCTAAAAATGTAATACGCCCCAAAAAAAGCCAGGGTAGTGGCATTAGGAATACTATGAAGTCTGATTTTGCTTCAGGAGAGCAGCCGGCTTCATTATTTACAGCGGTTTGGAGAATCCAAGATTTTTTTGGTTTTCTTTAGACCAGGATTTCTCACACTTCGTTGAACTAAAGGCCTCTTTCGTGACCTCAACTGTTTGAGATGAGGTAGAATACCGCAGAAAAGGCAATCATGGCCGCCCACTTTCATAAGCCCACATACAGTGTTATATATGAGACTAAAATAATAAAATGTGGTAATTACAGATGTATATATTAATTTTATTTTTAGATTCTTTTGTTTTAAATTTAGATTTTCATTAAAGTTTTAGTAGTTTTGTTTTTATTATTTTATTAGTTTTTGTTGTATTTTATTTTTATTGCATTCTTTTATTTATTTATTTATTTTTATTTTATTTGATTAAAGTTTTTTTTTTGTTTTTTTAGTTATTTTTAATTATTTTTTTATATAAAAATTATATATATTTTTTAATATTTTATTTTGTTTAACAATTATTTTATTTCAGATAACTTTTTATTTTTTTATTTTTATTTGTAATGCTTTTAGTTAACAATGATAACCCTGCCCCACACTCTAAATCAACTACAGTCCTGTGTTTCTAATAACAGTTCTTGTATATATTTTAATTTTAAGTAAACAAGTTTTAAAGGATACTTTGATAGCTAGTGATATATTTGTTGTTATTTTTTTCAACATGATGCCACAAATGCTGTTGATAGAGCTTAACTCATGTTTAACCCGGAACATTCCTTTAATTTGATAAACTCTCTTGGAGCCGGAATGTCTGTGATTCCGCTGTGTTACAATTCCATGATATGTGTGTGTGTGTGTGTGTGTGTTTTGATAAAAACCACGGCCATGTTTCTGCGCTGCTGGGGTGACGTTCATTAGCTCTGGTTGAAGAAGCAAAAGTCTCTCTCTCTCTCTTTCTCTCTTTTGTGCGCTCTTTCCAAACGTGTGGGCACTTTCCCTCTGCGTCTCTGTGTTTTTTCTCGCGTTTGGTGCCGGAGTGTCTGCACTGGTACCTCAGCACATAGCTCTGTCCTGAGATAAGCCCAGCACGCTCTCCCTCGCTCTTTTCTTGTCTGGTTGCTCCGGTCAGTCAGATTGCTGCGTTGGTGTCGTCCTTGACTCACTCTCATCTCCCATAATGCCCTTCACTAGTGTGTGGCATTGTTATCACTGACAGAGGCTTTAAATAAATCACCTGCCCTTGTCTTTTTATTTTTCCCTCTTTTCTTGTATTTCGGACCCTTCCAAGGACCTAAGAGAGTCAGGAGGTTCAGACGGGAGCCGTTTGTTTTCACAGAGCATGCTAACGGCCCGTACAGACATGAATGTTTTGAGAGTAAACCGAATGGATGGAGTGAAATCATCAGGAGGAATAGATTCAACACGGGTCTCCTTCAGAGGCCTGTTTACTCACCCACCACCTCGAAGCTGATTTATCAGCCTGAGACGAGAGCACAACTCATTCGGCTCTCCAAACTGAGGAGGGGTAGCTCACCTCATTTTTCCCTCTTTTCTTGTATTTCGGACCCTTCCAAGGACCTCAGAGAGTCAGGAGGTTCAGACGGGAGCCGTTTGTTTTCACAGAGCACGCTAACGGCCCGTACAGACATGAATGTTTTGAGAGTAAACCGAATGGATGGAGTGAAATCATCAGGAGGAATAGATTCAACACGGGTCTCCTTCAGAGGCCTGTTTACTCACCCACCACCTCGAAGTTGATTTATCAGCCTGAGACGAGAGCACAACTCCCTCGGCTTATTGTTGTTGTTGTTGTTGTTGTTGTAAATAATAAATACAATTGATAATAAATAAAAATATAAAAAAACATATTAAGTTATTTTAAATAAATAGCTTTAAAAATATTGTAATATAATTACACAACAAATGTTGTTGGAATAAATTACAACATTTATTTATTTATATATTGTAATTTACTGTACAATATACAATAAATTATACAAATAGATTACAGGGTGTTGATGCAGTTGAATTAAAAAAAAAAAAAAAAATTTTTTTTTATTTTTTTAGGATTTACATTTATTGTTATTATTATTATTATTATTGTTGTTGTTGTTGTTGTTGTTGTAAATAATAAATACAATTGATAATAAATAAAAATATAAAAAAACATATTAAGTTATTTTAAATAAATAGCTTTAAAAATATTGTAATATAATTACACAACAAATGTTGTTGGAATAAATTACAACATTTATTTATTTATATATTGTAATTTACTGTACAATATACAATAAATTATACAAATAGATTGCAGGGTGTTGATGCAGTTGAATTAAAAAAAAAAAAAAAACATTGTTTTATATTTTTATGGCATTTTATTTTATGAATTAATATATTTTATGTAGCCATGCAATGTTTTTGATCTCCATAAACTCTATAAAAAAGGTGCATTTATTATTATATAAAAATAATATAAACAGTGCATTTATATTTAGAGTACAGTATATAAAGAGAAAAATATCTACTTTGTGTGTGTGTGTGTGTGTGTGTGTGTATATATATATATAGTGAAAAGCCTGATAACTGACCTCAGAATGATGATGTTTAAAGCAGAGAGTTGATGCAGTGATGTGTTTCTGCGTTTGTGTTTCTCGTGATGTCAGTGGTTTAATTAGAGACTCAGTGTTTAGTTTGTCTGCTAGAGACATGGAGCAGCAGCAGATCAGTGCACTGGAGATCAGAAAACTCATCCTCTCTGTCTCTCTCTCTCTCTCTCTCTCTCTCTCTCTCTCTCTGTTTGCTTGTTCAGGTGGATGGAACATTCTTGAGCTGATCTCTGAGTTTGCTCTCGCTTGTTTCCCAGCGCGCTCTGCTCTGTGTGTGCGTGTGATTGTTGTCAGTGTAAATAAGTGGGTCATTCTGAGTCCTACACGAGATGCAGAACAATATGTTTTCCGTCCAGATGCAGTGTGTCAGTGAGCTAATAGACTTTCCTGCTGTCTGTCTCTCGTTCACAGATGAGCTGAAGAGAGACTATGACACTATGGGACCTGATGCAGCTTTAGAGCCGGTTGGGAACAGTACAGGTGAGTCACGTGAACATGTTGATTTGCTGTAGTGATATAGAGTGCATTAGTCCCGCCCACTTTTTCAGCCGTGCTGGTATTTTTTCCATTCATTTTTCCCATAGGGATTTTTTAAAAGACTTTGTTAAAGTGTTATAAGCCATGAAACGTTATAAGCTTTTAAAAAGCATGAAGCAAAAAAGTAAATAAAAATCAGACAAAAAGACAAAGGTACAAGACTGTGAACTTAACAGCTTTAGTGAGAGAAAAAAAAATACAATCCCTTGAAGCACTGCGAATCAAATTAAAAACAGTGGAGAAATATAAAACAATTCATTTAAAGTTGTTGGTTGCATCTATCAAAATATATTTTAAGGGTATTGCCAAATACACATAAATATATATATATATGCAAATATGTAAGTATTTTGACACGTATTGTTCGCTGTGTTTGAAGGGAGTGGGCGGAGCTAAAGATGCACTTTTCTCGTTGCCACTCTCTGATTGGTGGAATTTGCTGTATAGCATCATGGGTAATGTCGTTTTTCCACCAATAATTCTGCTATTAAACACTTATTTTAAAATGAAGTTGAATAAATGTGAACAAATGGGTTGAAGAAAAGCATATACCGTTGATTAATAACCTCGCAGCTCACAACAGGTCTGTCTTTAAAGGTTTATCAGTTATTGTTAAAAATCAGTTTCCCTATTGAAAAAAAATTAAATGGAGATTTACTTCAGGAATCCAACTGTTGTGCTCTGTTAGCATGTCTGTGACGCAGCATTTCATGCAAACTGAAACCTTGAACTTAAAAATGATTCTACTGCTGAGATTTAAGCAGCAAATGTAGATCAACAGGGTTGATGTGAATCCACAATCATCCAAGTGATTCCTGCTCCCTGTTTGACATCATCATCATCCTCACACACACACACACACGCACACACGCACACACACACACGCACACACACACTCTCACACACACACATACACACACACACACTACAACCACCGACA